TCATCCATTTGGTTGAATTAAGAACTAAGAAAGTAAACCCACATGTTAATTACACAAAAAAAGAGCATCCAAGAAAGCTATAATCTTGATCAAGATTCAAAGATCTTAGAACACAATGAAAATTTTTACAGTATTTTAATGCACAAAAAATTAAGAAAAATGGGTCCCATGTTATAAACAATGATGAATGTGAAATGAGATTTTCAGCCATATTGTCGTTATAAGATTGAATTGAGATTACTTAAAAATCAAATTTAAACAATTGATGCACATCAGGAAACTTTATAATTAGTGTAGAAGTCACTATAAAAAAAGGTAAACAAGAGATAACAACAAGATCAACCTGCTAGAAAAGGCACAGAAACCTCTTCTCCACCAAATCTCAAGACATTCTCCTTTAGATCAATTATGCATTGTCAATTGCAGTTATGTAAGCAACTCATTATGAAATCTGAATTCAAACTAATTAAAAGAGCAAATTTAAATATGAAAAGGCAACTTGGTGCTTGCGGAGCATATCCAGCCCAAAAAGAAGCTCCATGTTGGGAGAATCCAGGACCGTGAATGTACACAGGTAAAAATTATTCCCAACCTACCATATTATGATAGCAAACACATCAAAGTAACAGGAATGCCATGTGTAACAGGGCATGAGTGGGGGGAATGAAGGAATTTTAAAAAGAAAGAAAATAATCCGTAGTCCATCAAAATGAGATAGCAATGTATTACATGAATACCTTGATGGGAGCAACATGTATTCGACCAATTATCTCTGACTGACCAACTCCTTGAGCAATACCCCTATACCATGTATCTAAAAGCCTCGACAGTCTGAAGGAAAAAAAATTGTGAACAATTATCAATAAATATCCATTCAAAAGCACCAATACCCTGGTTTACAGAAGAATGGATTAATCCCACAATAGGGAGCGGGAGAAAAAACAGGATCTTGTACCCGCAACGCTCGGCACAACTTTTAGATATAATTGTTGACTGAGCTTTACTATCAACAAAGGCCTGAACAAAGACGAGGGAAATAAATACCTCAATTAAAGCAAGAGCATATGGGATAATAAGGAGCTCACACATGACACGAGGGACTATATAATCAATAATGTACAACAATTCTTAGTTTAAGTGCCCGCTCAAAGTGACTTGATTGTAAATGCAAGAACTTTGTGAAGTCATGAGCTCTCAAAAACAAACCATTGAGTTCTCGGGTAAATCAAGATGCAACACATATACAAGAACTTCGTAAAGTCAGTGTAATTGTGTGCCGGCAGATAGAAATGTTTCTTAAGTATCCATAAAACAAAAGACCCCCATGTCAATGCTTCAAGTATTTTAGATTGTGTCGATTTCTCTGATTGGGAACGATTAAATATAATAAAATATATAGTTAAAAATGAGTATAAAAGACAATAAAACATACACCACTACAAACAACTAATTTTTCATGCATATATGCCAAATCAAAACCCACAACAACAGCAACTTTCATCACAGGTTATAGAAGGCTTCTGCTACCGACGTCATATGTAAATAACAATAGACATTTAACACTTAGATACCAAGATGCACCTAATAGCCAATGTTGGGAAAACAAGATTTCGACTTCATATCAGTAAGATAAAACAAGAAAAAAAAATTAAAGTAAAAATACTAACTCAAAATAATATCAAATACATTAGAGATGATAATCAGATTAAAGAGATAAGGCATACTGAATGAATATTTCCTCACAAGTGATTTCCTAACTTCCATATCTAAGCAAGTTGAGGGATATGGAATAATAAAGAAAGAGTTTGACAAAGTTAAATCACAAAGTCCTGTGAATTTCTATCAAAAGCGTCTGCAAAATCCAAAAGAAATGCAGTTTCAATTCTGTCAATCGATGCCCATTATCACCAGCACAAAAGCTGCAGCAAACCTCGATTCCCCAACTAACCCAGCGACTACTTTGCCCTAACATTCTCAATTTCATAAAAATTCAAACCCCTTTATCACCACCACAACCCTAACCGGAAATTACCCACCCAATTCACGAAAAACACAATAACATTGAAAACATTTTACACCCAAACTGAAAGAAAATAAACAAACCTTCAGATTCGAACGGTCATTAAATGATTTATGCAAGAAGATATTTCCTAATAAAATTTA